TCTATTCTTTTTGAGGAAGGTTTTATTTTTGTTTGTTTGTTTATTTATTCCTACAGACTATGAAAAACACATAATCCTTTAAATACCATCTCTTCGAAAATGGCAGCTCACTTTCATGTTTGTTGTCACTATAAAACTGAAGTTTTTATTTTGTTTCATTAACTTTATCTGAACATGAAAATCTTTTTTTTTGTTACCTTGTATTTGACAGAAAAAAACACTCTCTGTTATTGACATATTTTTCTAGTAAATCTTGTAAACAACAGGTACCAAAATGGATTAGAGCCTTTCAAGTAGTAACATGTACTCCCACACATTTTGTTTTAAAATGCATCCCGCATCCACACGCTGTAACTGAAACATTTCATTTTTTTTTAAATAATGATTTTTATTGAAATTGTTTAAGACACTTCCAGAAAAAAATGATATGGATTGGTTCATTAATTGTAGGTAAATCAAAATCACTTATCAGAAGTATTTTCCAGTGGCATATTTCAGTAAGTATGCAATGTGATCGGATATTTGGGCAATAAAATTAACCACAAGATTGTAGAGATGTCTCTTATATAGGATGCAACAATTAAACGTATACAAAGAAAAGTAAAAAGCAAACTTAGAATATAATACAGAACTATTTTGTACATTTAGCCAAATGGACTAGTACTAATCATCCACTCTTGGGTGCAGGAAAATATGGTCCAAGATTTCTCCTCGGGACCTAGATAAGTTCCTCAACCTAACATTGGACAAGATAAAAGTTTAGGAGGGTTGCGTTAACACTAGAGGCTTCCTGGTACTCTCAAAATGCTTATAGGTGTCATAAGAGAAATGGGGAGCCGTGTCTCTTTTATCAAACAGGTAGTTAATGATGTGTGATAGATTGCGGACTGATTTAAATTTCTAACCCCTCGCTATAAGCATTTTTGCAGCTAAAGGGACTCTCGATACAGCTGTTACTGGGTGAGTTTGCAGTTCAGAAGGATTAGATTTCAGCAGGGTGCATTTATGGGGAAGGGCAAACATTACATTTTTAACTATATTAATCAAGAGTTTTATTAGTTTAATCAGAACTTCTGGTCTTTCCTCCCTCAAGTGTTAATACTCCCATGTCTGTCTCCCTCCAAGTCAACGGCGCTACCATCACCTCTACCTCGCAGGATCGCTGCCAGGTGTTCTTTTTGACTCCAACCTCTCCTTCACCCTTCATGTCAAATCAATATCCAAATCCTGTCTCTTCCATCTCAAAAATATAGTGCGCATCCGCCCCTATTTAACCCCCGATGCGGCTAAGGTGCTGGTCCATGCTCTTTTTCTCTCTGGCCTGGAGTACTGCAATACTCTTCTCAGTGGTCTTACGTGTTCCCAGATTGCACCGTTGCAATTTGTAATGAATACAGCAGCAAGTGCAGCAAGGCTCATTTTCATGTCTGCTCGCACCTCCCACGCCTCCCCGCTCTGTCAGTCCCTGCATTGGCTTCCAGTTAGATATAGGGCTCAATTTAAAATGTTGGTGCTTGCTTACAAGTCCCTACATAATGCTGCTCCAACCTACCTATCCTCCCTAATATAGAAGTATGTCCCGTCAAGGCCCCTACGCTCTGTCAAAGACCTACGTATATCCTCTGTCCGTACGCCCACCTACAACGCTCGCCTCTAAGACTTTTCCAGGGCTGCACCTCTCCTGTGGAACTCCCTTCCCTTCTCCATAAAAATTTCACTCAGTCTCCACTCATTCAAAAAATCATTGAAAACTCACTTCTTCAAGAAAGCATATCAATTAAACTGTTAGCAGGTTTTTATCCCCCACCCTCCATGACTCCTCTCCTGCAACTGTCAAAAATTACCTACTAAGCCCTCAGTGAATACTTTTCTAACAATCTACTTCGTACCCCTACTTTTACCCTTTGTGTCACTATACCCCACTCCCTCTAGAATGTAAGCTCACTGAGCAGGGCCCTCCACCTCTCTGTTCCTGTACGTCCAGTTGTCTGGTTACAATTACATGTCTGTTAGTCCACCCATTGTACAGCGTTACGGAATCCGATGGCGCTATATAAATAAAAAAATAATACTAATAATAATAATATTTTTAATGCCAATGTATACATTTTAAATTTACATAAAAATATTGTTAAAATATGATACATAAATCAGCAGTTATTTATCCTCCATTTTACCAGATGCATTTGATTTATTTATGTAAAAGTGATGCACAGCTAGAAAACTAAAATAGGATATTGTTGTGCCCAGAGGGGGTTTTAATACTTTGGATGAAAAAATCTGAAAACTGCCCTGCCTTAATAGATCTTAAATAGTTTAGTCACCAAAGACTTCTTTATGGTCACAGTTTACTCTCACTTTGCTAAGTAATATGATTACGTTTTTGGACCAGAACTGACAAATTATACAAATTAAAGTGATTCTGACATGGGTTATTAAAGTTAGAAAAAATCCCCCCAAATACATTGGATACAGTAAATATTACAGACATACATGATGTGAAATATGTGTAAAATGTCTGTATATCACTCACCTGCACTGCCATTACTTCTTCTTCATGGTTGTCACTGTAGAATATTACATATTATTATACCCATGGTCTTTTCTGATCTTCTTTGTCAGTCAATTCTTCAGCATAAAGTCTATATAGAAGGTTTGACTAAATGGTGGGAGAAAGACCTACTTTTATTTTTTTCCTCCCAAAGTATACATTTATTGGCAACACAATGGTAGATAGAATTTTGTGCTCTTTATCATAAGATCATAAGTTATACTTTTATAAAATCACACACCACACATCTGATAAAACATCAAGCAAATACAATCTTGATTAGTTTTACATGGTGCCAGTTGCATAGGATTTTTTAATGTATAATTAAACTCACAAAAATCTTTCACTTTAGTTCCTGCCCATTGTCTACAACTTCTGACAGAATGTGGTGAACTATTTACAAAGGACTTGCTGAACACGCATTTTAACTTCTCCGTAGGAATTATTAAGTCAATGATTTCCTGTGGGGGCTTCCATGTCACATGACCAAGTTTTACTCGGTCGGTGCAACGAAAGTGCCTATAGTGGATGACATACTGCAGAAGCAATTCTTTGACAGGGGCACTTAACACAGAACACTTGTTTAAGATGAAGTGGTTTGGGTTCCTATAGCATCTCTTTAAGTCTACGTGATAGGTCAGATTTTTTTTAGCCTTTTTGATTCACAAATAAATGTATGTGAATATTTCTGTTTGTGGTGTATTGTGATTGAATCACGGTGAGCAAAGTGAATGTAAGCCTCTGTGTAACCGCATGCAGGAGTAAAGATAATTTGTGAGTAAAGGCAGTTTAAGATTAGAGAGGGTTTTCTGTCACAGATTAATAAGGGTTATAGTTAGGTTGTAAAAGGTGTTAAGAATATTTATGCTAAAGGGGTTAAAGGTATATGGAGTATTCAGTAATATTGGGTCTAGGTGTTAGAGTGGTGTTAACGTTAGTATTTGAATACAAGGGGCGTTTAGTATGAGTTCAAACTAGGGTTAATATGTACCTGTGTGAGAGGCTGTTCGTGGCAGATGGGAAGTGATCCCTTCCACTTCCTGTCCAGCCTCGCACATAGACACTGGAGGATCTGGGACAGCATTGAGTTTTACACCATCTATAACTGTTCCTGCAGCTCTCTGATGACGCAAACGAGGCAGATTGGACTGCAGAGGACACTGCCCAAGTTTCATTGAGTTTATCTTGCCCCACCAGCCCACTTAAAATCCACAAAGTACAAATGCACTCCCTATAGGATGTTTAAGCAAATCTGGCTCGGTAATAGTGAGTATCTTTGCATACAAACATTATTGTTGGTCAGCCAATAAACAAATAGCAACAGGGTTGGAAACCAGTTGGTAATTAGCAGTTGCTACTGACTATTGTTAATAGCAAAAAAGTCTGAAAATTAGTCATGATTGTTAGATGCATAAAGGGACATTATAGGCATCAAACCATCAAACAGTTTTGGTGTATAGATCATGTCTGTAAAGTCGTACTGCTTAATTATCTGCCATCTGGGAGTTAAACCATTTTTTTCTGTTTATACAGCCTTATCCACACCTCCCCTGGCTGTGACTGACACAGCTTGCATGAAAATAAATCACACACACACGGTTCCAGCAGGGCCTAGACAACTATTAACAGAGTAGGAGATAAGAAATTCTAAATTAAACAGACTGTGCAATATTGGAAGTTTAAACAATAGATCTCTCTGTTCAGGAAGGGTTTAGGAAGGCTGTGTAAGTCACAAGAGGTGTGACTAGGACTGTATAAACAAAGTAAAAAAAAATAAAACCTAATCTAGTTGGCTTTTCAATGCTGATTCCATAATATATAATCTGTGTGTTTTTTTTACATTCTTTGTTTTTGTTGCGTAAATCAAAATAACATTCAAGCTGATGATGCCACAATAGCAGAGTCTAGCACATAAGAGTTTGTATAGTAGGACATTGCTTTGGCATGCATATCAATTACACATTATTTTTTTTTAGATGAGAAAAGAAAAAGCAGAACATATTTGTAAATATCGTAAGGGACAGTAGAGTCACAATTCTAACAGACTATGTAGTGAGAGAGGTCAAAATGTTATATGCTAGAATTGTAGATTGTGTATAAAACGTAAATGCCACTGGGTTTGTAAGGTTGCTCGATGCAAATGCTCAGGTATGGTATACAAACCAAATGAATGAAGACAGATCCTTATCTATAGCTAGGTATGCAAGGCTAAAGTATAATATGTTATTTAGATCAATAGAAACTTAGCCTAACACAGTGCTGACTAGAAATTATAAAAGGAAGCAAAGAAATATGTATAGCTGTGCAGGATCTGTTCGGCTGCCTCATGTTTGTCCAGCCGATGCCTGTGAGCGGAGTGGCCAACTTCCCATGATGACAAGAGTCCATCTAGACCTGTGGGGGCACCTTTCTGGCTCCAAGCAACAATGGTCACACGACGGCGTAGTACCGGTTGTGTCCAGCCCCAGGAGCAGATCTCCAGACTTATTTCCTTGCACGCGAACCTGAGGAAGTAAACTGCTTGTTGGAGACTCTCCCCGTATGAGCTGAGGTGCAGGTAAGTGACAGCAGATGGTGGGGCGGCGTCCCTGATGTCGAGGTGCCCTCTTTCTTCGCTTCACCATGGCCAGTAGTTCGGCATTGCATTGTAGTGCAGGCTTTGGTTTAGTTGTTGTAGTGGGCCTTTAAGAGGCATCTGCAACCACTAGTCACTGTGCCTGTTCAAGAAGCTTAGCCAAAAGTTGTGCCCAGAAGTGGTCGAAGGCCTTTGCTATGCTGTCTTACTGGGGGGCCCAGAGATCAGGTCTCTGTGTGGTGTCCATCTTCGCTGTGAGCATGCGGCTTGGCCCTAGTAAGCACCTTGCACCAGGTTGTTGGTAGAGGACACCCAGTGGGGACTGGGATAACCCCCTCCAGTCCAAAGGTAGATGGTAATGGAGTTATGAGCAGCTCGTGATGAGGTGCAGGCCCAGAGTCAGGAGAGCGGCGATCTCTCCCACCCACCAGGCCCTCAGTCCTAGGAGGCTGCACGCTCGTATGCGGTGAGTATTTCAAAGCTCTCGAGTGCTTCAATCTGCTAAAATGTGTGACTTCTGGCACCAAAAGTTATTAGCCGGCGTCGCTGAGTGTCTTGTGGCTGGATTTATGTGGATTATCATGAAGGCAAGTTCGGGTTAGCAGAAGCAACTACAAAGCTCTTGGGTACTTGGCCCCCACCCCATAATCTGTTTTTTAAACAAATACATTAGGGTATTTTTTACTTATATAAATTGTACCTATTTTGCCTGTGACAATAAACTTTTCAATAAAAAAAGTAAATAAATAAGTAGCTAATGAAACATCTGGCAGTTTTTTCCTCATAATTAATTTAAGCTGACAAAAAGACAAGGTTGCAGAAACACATTGTTTTACCCCTATCATTAAAACAGATCTGATATCCTGCAAAGATTATATAATAAAATCACTTTGGCAGCTCGCAGATCTCTCATAACCAGGTGGTTAGGGAATGGGACTCCTTCATGGCAGAAGGTGGTGGCCAAGACTAACAACAGTTATGCTATGGATAAACTTCACAACTCTCGTCTTTTCATAACTTTTGTTTACTCTATATGACAGTTATTTCTCTTTGCAGGTCCGGAGTGGGCAACTATCTCATCTTTGCTCCTTATTCTTCCTTTCTTTTCCTGTTCTTGATTCTCTCTCTTGTGATTTTGCATCTATTTTGGTTATTTGTTTATTATATTCTATACTAAAAATTGCAGATTGGAAATGCATACAACTGTACAATATCATATCATCTGATGGGCCTTTCAAAGCTTTCTTGTATTTCTGTCCGTACTTATACAAAGAGTAAAAAAAAAAAAAAAAACAGCTCTGGAATAAATAGGTAAGCTATCTTGTTACCTTGGTGATTAATGCTTTTGATGACTGCACATTATCATCCAATGATCGCTTATATGCATGCTAGTGCATAATACATGTATGTGTTTGCACAGGCATTGCATACTATGCTCTCTGCATGCTCTCTGTATTCACAAATACATAAGAAGTGTGCGCAAATGTCAAATCACAAATGCAGTATTGCTTGTCAAATATAGATTTTAAGTCATGAGCATATGGGAATTTTTGCTTTTAAGAGTAGTGAAAATACTCACATAGATTTTTTTAAGACATAAAATAAATGTTTGCTGTTTTCTAGCATTCTACTTGTCCTCATGGGAATAAATAGAAAAGTTTATGTGATTGACGGATTTGTGAATTGTGTTGTAGGTAAAAAGGATTGTCTATCTCCAACTAACAGTTACAGCATTGTTTCACCTTCACAGTAAAGCTAACATCTAATCTTAAACTATTTAATACAGCATGTGTTTTATTTACAATATACGCGTAATAGCGTTTTTGTTTTAATTTAGTTTTTAGCATTTTGGTCAATAATACTGTAATGACAAATTTAAATTCAGTTCTGAATCCTTAAACATGAATCGAAAATTGGCATTTAAGTAAAAGTTAATAATAAATCCATTCTTTATCTTGAAATGAAACATAATAATTTTGAGTGGTTTTAAGACTTAAAATATACCAATATTTATCAAAAGCTGCCCATAACATAACAGTTTGTCTAGCAATGTTCAAATAAAAAATATTTTTTTTTTTATAATAATGTGTTTTTAGAATGTTGACTAAAATGCAAATTTCATATTTAATGAGTGCAGAATTAAATAGATGATATTTAAAATATGTGAGGAGCTGGAAAAACATGTTTATTTGCTGCCGTCACCACATCACATCAAATTGGTTCTGTGCCTTCTGCTTGTTTGGACAAATATTTACTGTGTTTTAGAAGAAGTATTTGGAACGAGTATTTATCAGCTGTTAACAATCTTTTAAGTATGTGCTATTACACTACATGGTTCTATTTAATACAGTCAGTCCACAGCCCTCATTTTGAAGAACATAAAAACATAAAAAATTGTGTGACATGAAAATAAGGCTTGGGATGCCAGCAAGAAACATATGGAACTGATATTATTCTAGATGATTCAAAACAAACCCACCTCACATATCCTCAAAGTAAAACCAACATAGTTACATAGTTACATAGCTGAAAAGAGACTTGCGTCCATCAAGTTCAGCCTTCCTCACATTTGTTTTTTGCTGTTAATCCAAAAGAAGGCAAAAAAAAAACCAGTTTGAAGCACAACTTTGCAACAAGCTAGGAAAAAATGTCGTTCTTGACCCCAGAATGACAGCCAGATTTATCCTTGGATCAAGCAGTTATTACCCTACATTGAAAGATTATATCCTTGAATATTCAGATTTTGCAAGTATGCATCTAGTAGCCGTTTGAACATCTGTGTGGACTCTGATAAAACCACTTCTTCAGGCAGAGAATTTCACATCCTGATTGTTCTTACAGTAAAAAAACCTTTCCTTTGCCTTAGACGAAATCTTATTTCTTCCAGTCTAAACGCATGGCCTCGTGTCCTATGTAAAGTCCGGTTTGTGAATAAATTTCCACACAATGGTTTGTATTGGCCCCGAATATATTTGTATAATAAATAACATTCCAAGCAAAGCATCCAACAAAAAAGTCAAAAACTTAAAAAATAGCAACACACCCCCAATAAAAACATAATAAAACAAATGAAAGTAAGTAATGAAATATAAAACACATAAACTTATAGAAAGAAAATACACCCCCTTAAAAAAAGATTATAAAAAAAATTGAAAATAAGAATAAAAATAACGACCCTACAAATTATCCACTCTATAATAAAATAAACTATATTAATAAAACCAAAAATATAGTAGCCAAATACAAAGTGTCAGGAAATAAATATGAGATGCCACCAAGTGGTATGTTATTCCTATAGTAATCTTCTATTAGGGATCAACAAATTACTGTTAGTAGTGAAATAACCATGCATAATCAACAGAAAAAAATAAACTTAGTAGGGAATTCACCCCTTACAAAATCTTTATTCTCAATTTAAGTATATTACACGTATATGAAATAAATAAGGAAAATAATAATGAATACAAAAGATCCCTTCGATATGCCATGGGTTCGAATCACTTAGCGATCATCTAGTGATCCACCATTATTAATCCATTGTCTGATGCATATTAAACCAAAGAAGGGCGCTGATTCAGTGGATAATTAATAAAATGACCTTCATTTAGCCACCCATTTTACAATAGATGATGGCAAATAGTGGTAATCTTTAATAGGTACTCTACTGACCACAGGTTATTTATAGAAATTACACATTTAAGGGGTAGCCAAACTAAGGAGGGATATCACAATGCCATGCACACAGTCAACAGGAATCAACAAAATCGCAAGCGTTAACCACAGAAATATATTTTAAATGATTAAATTAAAAGAAAAGCTCAATGGCTATTAAGTGACCACTAAGCACTCTAAAAATAATATATATATAAAAAATAGCATACAAATCTTCATGATTCTTCTGTTGAAACCAAAACTATACAATATGCAATGGTAATAACCCACTAAACAGTAATTCAGCCAAAAGCTGTGTAATCTGTAAATGTAAAATCAAAAGGACATAGTGCTTTCTGTAAAACTAATGCTAACACATACCCTCAAACACTTACAAAGCCCAAAAGGGAGCAAGCATTTCAAGAGTGAAGTCCTCCTTTCAGATAGTTCCAATGACAAAAGAGAGCAGTACTGTAGTGGTCCGTTTGTAACCAAAGCACTACTGCATCATTGCCTTTTGTCATTTAAACAATTTGAAAGGAGGACTTCATGGACCTTCAACTCCAGGTCCAGACTTTTTTATTTATTTATTTATTAGTATGTCCTGGGTCCACAAATCATTGCATTGTTACAATTAGGGTACAATAAAATACAAAAACAATATTAATACACAATAAATACAAAATTTAACATAGAACAGGCAGGAAATATATAATCAACCATGACAGATGCATTCATTCAGTCTGGCCTACCGTTCAGCTAATATCCAGACCAAATTTAGGTACGTTTAGGGCCTGATTTACAAAACCCAGACTTTTATAAGTTCCATCAACAATGTCTGGATTTTGTATTTCCAAATGGTTTTGAACTATTTGTACAGCAGCAAATGGTTTTGCCCCTCCTTTTGTACAGCAGCGAATGGTTTTGCCCCATTTGGTTCAAAGCCATTCAGACTTTATTGAATAAACCTCATAAATCTGCTTTATGACCTACACTGCATATAGTCATGCATGGCAACTTAACAAGTTCTAGTTTTGGACAATTTGGACAGTGTCCTAGTATTCCCAAAGCCCGGATATCCTAGGAATATTGTTACCAACTGCTCTGCAAAAAAAAAGTTAAATCCTTATGTTGGCAAATAACTCCAATAATAATGCAAGAGACTGAGCAAACGTGAAAATTTTTGCCTTTAATGAAAACTTCTCCCTAATGAAGGAAGATATGATAGAGAATCAAAAACAACCCGTTGATTCACATGTTAATCCCTTATGGACTAAATGATCCCTAAACACTTTTCTCAGCATGAGTTATTATTTATTTTTTTTATTTATAAATTTTTTTACCAGGAAAGATACATTGAGATTTTTCTTGTTTTCAAGTGTCCTGGGTCCACAAAAC